AAGAGGTCCTATGGGTGGAGCAGCATATGGGACGCCAAGATACGCGTTCGTGTTGGACGAGGCCGAGAAGCCTTGAAGCTTTCCAGATGTGGTAGATACGATGGGTGCTACGCTTTCCGAGTAGACACCATTGATAAAGAGTACAGCGATCGATAGTAAGAGGCGTGTGTGCATCTGGACGAGGGGACGCTGAACGGTAGGTTGGATGGCCTCGCACAGTTGCCTTAAGAACCCTGTCAAGAAATTATACATCGTACCACACCCTCATGAAGGGATTACTTACCATAGTGTCCTCTATAGTGCTCACGGAATGTCGAATGGGTTAGAGCCGAGTAATTTCATGCGAAGGTTGGGTCGAAGATCAAGTTGTGGCACTGCTCAAAGGCCCGGGCCGAGATTCTTGGTCGATCTGAATAGAAGCACCAAATAATCTCGGAATAAATCGACGGCGATTCCATATAATTTACCTGCGTTCAATGCTCTACCAATATCCTAGATCATCTCGCAAATTGGACCAGTCGATTCGACGATATGTTTAGGACGATTGTACACAGCTATCCATTTACGCATGTCCTTCTTTCTCTCAACGCTGAGGATGGTATTCAAGAGGGTACCTAGCCTTTGTCGATATCGAATAGTAATCAAATCAAGGATCATGAAACAAATGGACTTGGGGTGCTACTTGGCGTGTTACCCGTTCGTGTACTCGCGTCGACGTGCCACTTTGACCTGACCACCACCCTCGACTCTCACCCAAAGCGGCGAGACCCAAAGGGTAACGCTTCCATATCGAAACTCTCAGAGATGCGACGAGTTCGCTTGGGCTATCCGCCGCTATCGGCAACACTGGCTTCTGAGGCATGCTTCTTCGACATCTGAGCGGAGCTAGGATTTCATATCGATTCTTCAAACAACCCCTTCATTCAAGTTGGTAGTGCTTTCGAGTCTACTACACTTTTATATTTCTTCTTCACTTGGACAATCGGCCTGGATGTGGAAGACGGAGTGCGTCATATCATTGGCATACTGTGTAAGTTTATAAATTGATCGAGACACGTTTCGACTCATTTGTCATCTTTTACCAGTGAACGAACCGAATGGCAAAAGGCTAACGCCGCTCCGTTCCAGCTTCTTCGTTCGAATTTCATTTCATGTTATGGACCGGTACCAAGATTTGGAAAAAGGAAACAAGGAAATAAGCTGAAAGTTCGATATGAGATGAAAGAAGTCAAGAAGGGACTACGGCATCGTCGTGCGGAACCTAATCTGCAAGAGGAAAAAAAGATATCGGTTCACTTCCTTGTTTCAACAAGCTTCGCCTTCTAATCTAAGATCCTCTGGTGCTTTGTCCCCGGAATGTAGTGATTAAGGCATCGGAATCAAAGCCTTGGTCGTGGTCCGCTCTTTATAAACCGTCTCCTGGCCCATCCTTCCTTCACAATTGGAATTTTCCCTTCCACCCCCGCTCGAGATCACCGCACCAACTAGAAGGCTAACCTTCTTTACTACGCTCCTTTACTCAAGCCAACATGCACTTGCCGCTCGTTACAATCTTTACCGTTTTCCCTCTTTTGTCTGCCGCTACCCCGATTGCGCAAAAACCGCGCATCACCATCCCGTTAACCAAACGGATCAACATTCTCCATCAAGATCGCCCAGTCAATATTGAACTCTTGAATGCCCAATTTGCAGATTCGGTCGAGTGAGTTTTGCATCCAAATTCACACTCACGATAGACTAATTTCCCGTTTGTTGCCCATAGCAAAATTCTTTTTGGGTTCGAAAATTATGAATGCAACACTGGCCAGCAACATCCTTTGGCTCCCCCAAAGGCAACGGACAACCAAAAACGACAAGACGGCCGCGAACCCCTCACCGACAACTCTGGTAGCCTCTGGTACGGCGAAATCTCTGTAGGCACACCTGCCAATAAATACACTGTCGACTTCGATACTGGTAGTAGCGACCTATTCTTGCCCTCCAGTAACTGCGGTCAGAGTTGCAACGGACACAAGACCTATGACCCGTCAGCCTCGTCTACTTCCCAGGATACCGGCAATCCCTTCTCCCTCTCATATGGAGATGGATCAACAGTGTCAGGCGAAGTATTCACCGACGCTGTGAGCGTTGCTGGGCTCGCTGCTCAGGATCAAGCCGTCGGTGCTGCGACCGAATACAGCAGCGGTCTCCAGTCTTCCAATTTCCCCGCGGATGGCCTGATGGGAATGGCCTTCCAGGAGATTAGTGGCTATAACGAGTCTCCCTTCTTTTTCACACTTATCTCGCAAGGCCAAGTGTCCGAATCTGTCTTTGCCATGAAGTTGACTCCCGAAGGCTCCGAATTAACTCTGGGTGGCGTATCTGGAGATCTCTACAAGGGTGAGGTCACATATGTCCCCGTTACTCAAAGGGGCTACTGGCAAGTCGACTTCGATTCACTCAACGTTGGTGGAAGCGCCACCGTTTCATCTAAGCCCTGCATCATCGACTCGGTATGTCGCATATTCTTTCTAGTATGACGCTGGAGGCTAAATTTGCTCCCATGTAGGGAACTACTTTGGTGATGGGAGACTCTGAAAGTGTCGCGTCTTTCTATAGCTCTATTCCAGGAGCTCAGCAAGCAGATTCATCGGTCGGGAAAGGCTTTTACACTTTCCCATGTGATCAAAAGCCCGAAGTTTCCTTCACTCTCGGCGGGAAAGACTTTTCGATAACTGATAGTTTCAATCTCGGCCGCGTCCAAGAGGGTTCTGACCAGTGCGTCGGTGGCATCGTTGCTAGCGAAGACACTGGTGATAAACTTTGGATCCTGGGAGATGTTTTCATGTCCAATTACTACACCGTTTTCGACGTCGGAAACTCGCAAGTCGGGTTTGCCCAGCTTGCATGAGTTAACAGACCACATCTGAGGTTGGAACGCCAAACTCGCCCGTCACCCCCTTTTCCCTACACCTGGTCCATTCTTCGCCGCTCCACAATGCTCTTTCAGATAGAAAAGAAATAGTATGTCACATACAATAAAGTTACTGTAGGCGTAGATATACATGGGTATAAAGGACAATGGCTACCAAACACGCGTCTCAAGTCTTTAGAGGACTGAATATCACTTTGTCGCGTTTGTAGACAACCCGGTCAGATCCCAATCATATTTACCAGCAAGTAATTTTTGACCCCGAGATAGGTCCACTTGATCGCTAAGCGTGAATGGTAAATATGAATTGAATGGTTTACGAAATGTAAAGGAACTCACCTTATGAATTCTCTGTACTTCTTCCATACGCCGTTGAGAGGGAAATTCTTGATTTTATAGTTTGCATCTTGAGGTTTCCATTCCCCAAACCAGGGTACGCTCGCACTCGCGTCATCGACTTCCATATCGTCGTCATCTTCATCTGTGCTCTTAGCTTCTACTCCTGATCTATCAGCGTATTCCTCCTTCTGATCTCTAGGTAGTTTCTTGTAAAATGCTTGATACGCTTGCTTGATTTTTTCTGCACGGGCTTCGCGCTCCTCCCGAGATTGTGGACCAAAGAGGTGCCTCGCATAATCCTTGATTATATGAGTATATTCTCCTCCATCGAATCCGCTGGTAGTCTCGCCCATATCGGCCATAGCACGAAGAGTATATTCGAGATCGGGGAACCCAGCTTCGCCCTTCTCCTCAAATTGGGGAGCCATGGCCTTGAGTACTTTTACAACAAGCGCACCGTATACGGCATCAGTAGCCCGAACCTGGTCACCATCATCAACATCTGTTTATCAAAGCTTTGAGGTGAGCCTCAATCCCCCGGAAGACAGATACG